ATTAATTACAGTGAGGTTAAGTTCATCATATCTTCGGTGGATAAATTCGGGTCCTCCATGTCACCCATACCCTCCTGGTCTGTCCACATGTTGCCAAGTGCAGTAGCGTCTGGCAGAGCGGAGGTGCCCTCCAGGTCCCATAGTTGTCGCTGAAAGTTGCTGATAGCCTCCTGCATCTGCTGCACAATAGTGTTCATTCTGTCAGAGAGTTCGAAGTTCTGTGCCTCCTGGAGCTGCGTCTGCAAGTCTTCTTTTTCCCCACGCAGAGCTTGATTTTCGCGTTCAAGTTCCTCTATTGTTCGAAAGCATTCTGCATGGGCAACTTCCAGAGTCGTAGACGGGCTCTTTCCGGTGCCACGCGGGGATTGAGCTTGTGTCATCTGGAGATGAGCTATTAGCCTGGATTATATACATACAGTATGTTTAGGGTCACAAATCCCAAATCACCCACCATTGATGGCCGTTGAAGGGCACGAGCAGGTCGCGAAGGACCGTTTTCTGGATTTACCTGGACCCGTCTGGCACGAGTGCCAGGTTGAGGAGCGTTTGTGCGCGAATGGGTGGCTCTCGGCATGATACTAGTAGTGAAGATAGAGAGAGAACAACAGATCTGGAAGGAAATCATGGGTTGCAATCGAGGGTAAGACGGTGGGTTTTAAGGGCCCATGGGCGGGCGAAGGCGAGGGCTGTCCCGTTTGCTGTAAGGGAAGTCCTCATCTTGCTGACGGGATGCCCGTGAACCGAGGTAGGTCAAGAACAGATTAGCCCTTCAGCGGAAGTCTCTCCGAGTTGCCCACCTGCCCACCTGCCCCCTCTCTGGCACCGATCCAGCCAGGTACCAGCCAGGTACGGACGGGCCCGAGTGGAATAGAGGGGCCAGTGGGCGAGACCGAAGGTTTTTACCCACCAACGTGAGAAAGAGAGTGCAAAGCGAGGAAGTGCGTGCAGATCATCGGACGGAACTAAAAGCAATTCGAGCCTGCAGGTCGGCCACTGGTCTGTCCACGCAGTGGATAATATCTAGCTTGTCTAGACCCCTGTAAACACGGTGCCTGGTTTTTTCCATTCTCTTTTTGCCCGTTCCTGAATTGCGAGTGTTGGGACTAGGTCCTGCGAAAATAGATGTGGATCGGGGCAAAGCGGAAATGCCCACTGCGTGTCCACCATTATCATTATTCACGGTGGTGGTTGCTCTCACTGGGCGTTATTTGAACCGCCCGTTCCCCCTCTCCCGCGCAAATAAGTCGGCGTTATATTTTGCTAGCCTTTCTCTTTTCTCATTACTGGGACTGTTCTTCAATTGACTGATCACCTGGCGCGGCGGCAGATTTCTCATCTTCTGTATCTTTGACACCTTCTCCCCATAATGAACAAAAGAGCCTACCGTGCATGGACCCCGGGTGAGGAGGCCAACCTTCCGTCGTGGGTAGAGGAACATTTAGACTTGTCCTGGAAGGAGAGGGCCCACCGATATTCAGCCACCTACAAACCCAGATCAGATGAATCCTTGCGGTCAAAGTTGGGGCAGTTGACGAAAGGGATCAAGCGATACCTTTCAACCAATACGAGGGGATCAAGCTTGAGGCGCAATACGGCGAGAACTGCGAAGACGTCCCGGAAGCAACGGCGTAGGGAAACTCCCTCCCTGTCTGTCTGCTTGCCGCGAATGCACAGTGAGCAGGAGGGGGATGGGGCGCTAGAACAGGCCGGCCCCGTCTTCCGCTCACGGCAAGACAGTTATACATCACCGCAATATTGCGCCGATGAGCGCCTCTCGCAATTCGAACAAACAATAATGACGCGACATGTCGGCCAGAAAAATCGCCCCAGTCGGTCCTATGGTAAGCTTTTCGCCATCTAGGTACGCAAGGCAATGGTAACAGTTCATCCGGGAATAGGCACAAACGATCTGGGTTGGCATCAGCCCTCGTTTCAAGCATCACCGCGCAAGATGGCACTGTTGTGGAAGCTGCTCTACCGCATGGCAGACCGTACACTGGAATGACCAGGCTACACATGAGATGTTGGATGATGAAAGTGGGGTCCGTGCTAGCACAATAGTCGGCCTAGATGACCATTCTTGTATCTAGTGTACACAAAGCAGATATTATTACAGCAGTGCCATAGTGGGCAGCTCATGTCTACAATAAAGCATCTTCCTCCGTGTATCCACACCCAATCGGCTGCAGCGTTTAGCCGAACCACCTACCGCAAGCTTTTTAGTACAGCCGTGGCCTTCTGCCTATTTATAGAGGCACCCTTCATCCCCCGTTTCCCATCGCGGTTTTGTCATCTCGCATGGTAACGATAGGAGAGCCTTATTGAATACGCATCATGTCGTTCCCGGCGTCATACTCAGAAACACCACTCATACAGCCCGTCCCCGGGAGGCAAGACACTCCTATAATTCCGAGGCGTTTGAGTCGTCTTGGGGATCTTCGTCGTCCTCAGCAGGCTGCCCATGCTGCGTCACGCCACCGATGCCAAATCCGATCACACCCACCAATATCACCCCCAGTATTGAATTGGGTTCGGGCTCTTTCGCGGCTCTTGAGGACTAATTTTTGAGAACTTTCACGATTCAGTTGACCAGACCATTCCATGCTCAGGCTGTGGCCGCGGTTCCAAATGACCGGCGGGCCGCGGGTCACTGGCACCTCGTTGAGCTCCTCTGCCATCGAACATTTGCCACATTCGGCGCTCAGGGCAGCATCCGTAATCTCAGCACTTCCCATTATCAGCGCTTTGTCCCGGGTGACACCTTGTTTATCAACGTTCGTCGGGTGAATCAGGGGTGGCTTACCTGGCTCGAGGCGAACATCACCCAGGGCGATATATTGGTTGCTACTGCACACGGTCTCTATGATGGCCCACTTCTACAACCTGACGCCCTACGGCCCGAGCCTGATGGTTTTGCACATGGCTTTGAGGGTTTGACAACCTTATATGCTCCCGATCAGTGCCCAAATGAAACCGTTTAAGGACCACGACTGTCCTGAGGCGCACTCAAAATTGGTTTATATGATGCGAAATAGTTCCAAATACAAAACCGGAATGGTATTGATCTCCATGCATTGGCTATCTGAGACATTCCCTCAATACACCGTACGACTCGATCCGTCGCACTTGGAGCCCCACGCCGTAGCCATGATAGGATACGCGTACATAGCGAAGATAATGACAAATCTCTGTATCTTAAACCAACATGCTGGCTTGTTCTTTTAGATGAGCAGAAAGAAAAAAGCAATAATGGTGCAGAGAGCACAGAGGAGCCTCGGGTCTATCATTGAGACTCGAAGCAGAAGCCAGACGTAATATTGCCCATGTTCTCTAGCGACCTCAAGTGGTCCCTGCTGCCAACGATCTCGGATGTCCACCTTTGCCCCCCTGTATTGAAGTAGATATCCCACAGCCCTTCCGTTACCGTGGTAGGCCGCCCACCAGAGAGGCGTGCGTCCATGATCGTCTGACACGTTTACATTGATGTCTCGGTGTGCCAGCAGGAGGTTAATCAGCGTGGCCGATCCCCAATCAACAGCATGGTGAAGAGAGGTGGACCCATCCTCTCCAATCGCATCAACCTGGATGCCACTCCGTGCCAACAGACATCGGGCCGCCCATTCGTGCCCGTTATGCGTTGCCCACCACAAGGCGGTGCGACCTCCATGATCGCGATGATTGATGTCGGGGTCATGTGAAAGAAGCTCCTGGACAAGAGATTCATGTCCTTCTGCGGCTGCGTAGATAAGAGCCGTCGATCCATTTATATCCCGTGCATTTATGTCGGTTTCGAAGTCCGACAGGAGGGTCTGCAGAATTTGGAGACACCCTGTCTCGGCAGCATGATGGAGTGGGTTGCCGCCACAAGAACAGCAGACCGTCACGTCGAACCTTTCATCAAAAATCAGGCGATGGACGAGACACAAGCTCCTGTTTACCATGGCGTAAAAAAATGGTGCTGGCGTATCTTTGCGCCGAATGTTGGGGTCGGTTCGACGGTCGGCAAGAAGGGTCTCCACGATCTCACAACCATGGTAGGTAACCGCGTAGGTAAGCGGTGCCGTGAATTTCCCTCTGTGGAAACAAAAGAAATTGGCATCAACACTGTTGCTACAGAGCAGGCCTTGCACAACTGAAGGGTAATTGTTCTTTACCCCCATCCACAACGCCTTCCTACCCTGTTCGTGTTGTTTTATATCAAGATGTGGATGCGATAGAAGCCTCATGAGGATGTCGGAAGAGCCCAGGGTGGCTGCTTCAATTAGCGGGGTACTTCGCCGGTGCATTGTGTTCACATCGGTCCCGGAGCTGAGCAGCTTCTCAAAGAGGTCGAGCGCTGTATGCCGAACGGCCCAATGCAGAGAGGGGGTTTTCTGCCGAGCAATGTCTTCCAGGCATAGCTCCCAATTCAATTTAGTGGACAGGGTCAGATTCATTCGAAGGACGGATATGGATTCACGATTATCGTGGCTCGCTGCAAAAAAGGCAAGGTGCAAGATAAATAGAATGCGGTGTGGAAGGACTCCATCCTTGCCGATCTGGGTTGCAGAATTGATCAATGCTCTTGTGGGTGCCATAGTGAGGAGGAAACAGCTAGAGTGGGATGGAAGTATATTGAATGGATAAATCGGTGAGCGTGATTGTGCGAGGAATTTTGTGCGGTATCACATCCTTTATGTGCTTCGAGAGCACGGTTATACGAAGCAACGCATATATGGTATGACGTTTCCTGATAGCGCACTAATGAAGGGACCTACGTCAATTTCCAAAATGCTATAGACTCTTCCAAGCTCCGGCGCTCCCAGGCATCCATATATCTCTCTCCAGAGCTAGCCTACGGGACCGGAGCGCGCCACACTCCGTTTATTCGTCAGCGTCTTCCGACTTTCCAGGATCCTTATCCCATAGGACATATAAATTGAGCCAGACTAGCCCAGTGAGGAGGCTATGGCTCACTATGGCTAATTCTTCTGGCATCTTTATTCACGCCAAATTCAGCAATGTCAATGCTTACACGACTCCCTCTTGAGCTTCGCTGCATGGTTGGCGAGCTGCTCGACGAAAGAACCCTTTATGCGTTATGTCTTACCTGTCACGACATGCAATCCACATTTGCCAAGGTCCTTTTCAAACGGAATATTGCAATCAATAACAGCTCCGGGCTTCATTGGGCGGTGCAGCATGACAGACGGGATATTGCCAATATCTTCTTATCATACGGTGCCAACGTTAACGCCATTGAAAATGGGGATTCGCTCCTCTGGTGCGCTGTACGGTGCCAAGCCATGGACACAATTGAGCTACTGCTGAACCACCACGATATTGACATCAATGGGTGCGACGATCAAGGCCGGAGTATCCTATGGTATGTGTTGTAAATCAACTGTGATGAGGTATTCATTAGGCATATGTTGGACAAAATTGGACCTGTTCATTACTACCGCCCTACGGCAGCCTCCCAGTTTTTCGGCTTCACCTTACTCAGGTTCGCCATCACCAAAGGTGCCGAATGTGTAGTCAAAAGACTGTTGCAACAGGAGGTGGAGCCAAATGAGAGATATGAAGACGCCCGTTGCTTCTTTCTTGCCGTCACCAACGATAGCGCAAGCATTGCACAGATGTTCCTAAGGCGGGGCGTTGATATTAATGCCATGGATGTGGATGAAAATTGTGGCAGAAATAGTCTTGGCAAAGAGCTGATTAATACGCCGAGCTTAACTAACGTAATTCACGGTCGAGTGGCGCACACGGTCGAGTGGCGCATCCCATCAAAAAACGCGCCGCGCGCGTGATCATACCATCTTCAACCACCCACCATGCCACCCAAACGTCCCCAATCCGCTCAAAATTCAATTGAATAAGAGGGCAGAATTTTATTAGCCATCTAAGCTATTAAAAACAACGAAATTGCCTCCATCCGCGAAGCTGCACGCCTATTTGACGTACCCGAATCTACCCTTTGTTGCCGCTGAATTGGGGGTGCATCCTGCGTGGATTCATGCGCAAATGGTTATAAATTGACTGAAAATGAGGAGATTTCGCTAGAGAAATGGATATTGGATATGGACGCCCGTGGAGCAGCACCGCGACCTAGTATGGTAGCTGATATGGCCAATTTATTACTAGTAAAGCGTGGTGAAACCCCTATACAAACGGTCGGGGTTAATTGGACCACAACCTTTGTTAAACGGCGCCCTGGCCTATCATCTCGATACTCGAAACGATATAACTACGAATGTGCGAAAAACGAAGATCTAAAGGTCATCTAAGTGTGGTTTGATCTAGTACAAAAGACCATACTCTAATATGGTATTACACTGTCTGATATATACAATTTCGATGAGACAGGCTTCGCGATAGGCCTTACTGCAACTGCGAAAGTGATTATGCGTGTGGAGTACTATGGAAAATGCGCGCTTTTACAGCCTGGAAATTGTGAATGGGTGACGGTAATTGAATGTATTAGCGCAGCTGGATATGTACTTCCGCCATATATTATCTTTAAGCATAAATCCTTGAATTTAGCATGGGCAGAAGACCTTCCACAGAATTGGATATTGGATAATAGTCTAAACGGATGGACTTCTGACGAAATTAGCCTATGTTAGCTTTAAAGAGTACTAATTCCGGACATATCACGCTTATAAGGTGGATATCGGCTTCTTATCCTTGATGGATATGGCAGCCATTTAACACCCTAATTCGACGAAATCTGCGCTGTAAATAATATTATATCAATCTGTATGCCTCCACACTCCTCACACCTCCTACAACCGCTTGATGTGGATTGTTTTGCGGTTCTAAAATGAGCATATGGACGATTGGTGGAATTAAAGACCCGCCTTGGGATTAACCATATTAATAAATTCGACTTTTTTATGGCCTATCCGAGCGCACGCGCCGATACATTTAAACTGAATACCATCTAAAATAGCTTCCGAGTAACTGGGCTATCTCTATATAGCCCTACTGAAGTGCTTTCGAAGCTTAATATCTATCTGAAGATCCCTACTCCCCCTGGTAGCGCAGGCAGTATTTTCTCGCCCAGAACACCGCAGAATCTCTTATAACTATATAAGCAAGCTTCGTCAATCAAAGCGCTTATTAAAAGGCGATCACAGAACCCCCCTATACCTATAGATCGAGCGCTAAACCAGCTTATCAAAGGCTGTGAATTAGCTATGAACTCGGCTATATTCTTAGCACATAAAAATAGTACTCTCCGCGCAGAAAATGAGAAAAAGAAGCAAAACCGGGCTCGGACAAATAAATGGATATCTAATGCAGGGGGAATAAGCGTGGAAGAAGCCTTATAGGCCTTCCAGGCCCCCCTAGAGGTGGTAGAGCCAACTATACCACCCTCGGTAGAAGCACCTGCGGCACCTTTACGGCAGCATACGAGAACGTTACCAACCTGTTTAGATTGTGGAATTCAAGGGCACAAAAGAACCTCATGTCCAAATAGGCGTAAATAGGTAATATTTGAATAAATTGGCGTTTTGGTAGTAATACAGGTGTTTGAAATTAGTAGGTGTGGGTGGGTGCGCCACTCGACCGTGAATTACGTTATATGATCATATGAAACGATTGAAGGTCTTGATTCATTCTAATCTACTGCAAAAAGAAGCCATATTTATGCAATTTCAGGGGCTTCAAAGATGCAATTCTAGGGGCTTGATCATACGATTCAAGCTCTATAATCGTACGATCAATATTGATCGATTGATCAATTGGTTGAGCAAGGTGATGAAGTAATTGCTTAGTCAGTTCCGCGGCCACAAAAATCAATCAACCGCCCTTCATCACGCTGCTCGCTTAGGTAATACCGTGATGATGGGCTTCTTGCTTCGGCAGCGCGGAGTTTGTGTGAACTCCCGGGACAGTCGGCAAAAAACCCCGCTGCATGTAGCAATTCAAAACGAGAAGCATGCGTGTACTGATATCTTGCTGTGCGTCCGAGAAATTGATATTGATGCCCAGGCCTCACACGGCTGCACTCCATTTTGGTGGGTGACATTTGTTGGATCCAATAGATGGTTAGGCCGACTGCTTGATCGGAATGTAAACTATAACATGCCAGACCACATGGGCAGAACACCTCTCCATAACCTTGCTATGCTTGGTGAAACTAGTCCAATCCGGTTGCTTCTAAATCAAGTCGACGTCGAATTGAATGCCGTCGATCTAGATGGCTATACACCTCTAGCACGTGCCGTGCAACATGCACGCTTGTCTGTGGCACAGCTCCTTCTTGAGCAGGCAGAAATCAGAGTGAATGCCGAATTCGGACACGAGGTCACGCCCCTTTGGGTTGCATGTCGCTCGGGTAGGAAAGATATGGTGCGCCTACTATTAGGGCACAAGTACATTGATGTCAATCAAGTTAACGCCTCCGGGGCAACTTCACTACACATTTCGGTCATCTTTGGCCATTTAGACGTGCTTAGCCTTCTGCTGAGGCAAGGTGAGAAACTTGATGTCAGTGTCCGAGATGAGTGGGGCTGGACGCCCCTCATGCACGCTGTATCTAGAAACCAAGCGCAGATGGTAAGTCTGCTGCTGGAAGTCCAGGGCACTGATATCAACGCAGTCGACATTGACGGGCGGACGGCGTTTTGGTGGGCTGCTGCAGGAGGGCACCACGAAATCGTTCGGATTTTGCGCCCTAACTCCAAAACGCGGCTCAAAGATAACTTTGGGAAAACAGCATATGCTGCTGCTCGGGAGAGAGGAAATGGAGCTTTGTTGTGTTTCCTGAGATCCCCATAGGCTGTAAGTAAATGTGTCCTTTTAGGCAGTCGAATGATCAGATCAGAATGTTGGGGATAACCTTGAACGTGTACCGCATGAATGCACACCTACTTATAATATTGTGATTTACATCGAAATACCGCATATACTACATATCACGACAGCCATCCCTGTCGCAACAGGGTTTTGCTTGCCCATGGGGGACCGTATCAGTAAATTCTTTTAGAATAGGAGAGTTTCTAAACCCAAATCCTGCTCGGTGAGACAGCGGCTCGGTCACTGACCGTTGCCCATGATTTGGCCTCTAACCACTGTTTGCACGCAAACCGCGCAATTCAGAATAGCCAAGCAATATATGGACCAAATACACGCCGAGCGGAATTGTCGGTCGGAGTTGCTCGCTAACTTGAACTGGTCGCTCTGGGTCACTCATGGGCTATGTAGAACAAACAGTTGAAAGTGATGTCCAGAACACCGGTGTCAATGAATACAATCGGGCCAACTGTGGCTACTGCGTTAAAGCTGTACCTTCCAAGATCGCTCCACCCACACAGTATTTAACTAATGCTATCCGTCTTCCATCGTGGGAGTGTCTCGCACCTTGCACTGGTATCCCACCCACAAAGCGAGCCCAGAAGTCCCTCTTCGTTCCACCGAGACATACTTTATTACTATGAACACCATACAAAAGATGACCCTCCAAGACAAGCATTCGGATGATGTGGCGTCCTCCTTCGGGAATATCCGTTCGCTTGATGACCTGATACGCCAACGTGCAGCAGACACGATCCAATTGCCTATATTGGCTTATCCACGGCCATCCGACGACGGTCGTTCCTACGACTATTTTAGCGGGCGTGATCTAGATCGGATGATTGAAACGTCCGCTCACGCTCTGGTTGAGTCGGGACTCAAACCTGTGGGTGCATGGTCTCCCCGATAGGTCCGCGAGCTAACACCAGCAGTGTCCAAACCGACGAGAGACTGTCGCTCTCCTTAGTGTGTCGGACTTGAGCATGGTGATTGCCCTTTTTTCACTCAGTCGACTCGGCCTCGGCCTGTGTCTCGCTTCTGGACCAGGTGGGCTGCCGCACAGTCCTGTACGGCCAAACCGATCCGGTCCGAGACATCGTCGTTGGGGTGTCGAGGCTAATGTCGATCGCTTGCCGTCCAACCCGTCCATCCTCGCGTGATACCGAAGCAGGCCAGAACACCGTATCCCAGACCCTGCGTGAAGGCTTGCCACGGATTAACGACAGCGACACCGCGGTGATACTGCACTCCTCCGGCTCGACGGGCACTCCGAAGCCACTATACTTGAGTCACCGCGTCCTGGTCTCGCAGGCTCGCATCGGGCCTGGGTGGAGTGCTTTCAACACCCTGCCCTGGTATCACGGGTACGGCCTGGCGACCGCGCTGCAGGCCATGTACAGCCGAAAGACGGCATTCGCGTGGGATACCTCACTGCCGATCACGGGGCGGGCACTGGTGGCGGCCCTGCAGGAAGCCCAACCGGAGTCCATCCACTGCGTCCCGTATGTGCTTCAGCTACTGGTGGACGAGCCCGACGGCATCCGCATCCTCCAGGCCTGCCAATTAGCGACGTTCGGCGGGGCCGCGTGTCCGGACCAGCTGGGCGATCGCCTGGTGGCCGAGGGAGTCCGGTTCGGTGGATTGTTTGGATCGTACGTAATCCCCTTGTCCCCTCACACTCTCTCGCTACACCGGAAGCCTCGTAGCTGACAGGTGGAAAGAACGGAAGCCGGCCTGGTGGCTGGGTCCATCTCGCGGCCTCTAAATGATCGCGGTTGGAACTACTTGCAGTTCTTTGACCATGTCAGCGCATTCGTCCAAATGAAGCCCATCGGCGACGGTCTCTACGAATGCGTCTATCTGCGTGGCCACCCGAGCCTGAGCGCTTCCAATACAGACGACGGTTGTTATCACTCTCGCGATATCTTCCTAAAGCACCCCAGTCTTCCGAACCGGTGGAGGTATGTTTCAGGGTTAGACGATCAAATCACCCTCGTCAATGGTGAAAAGGTGCATCCCCTGTGGATCGAAGAGACGATCAGACAGCATCCCTTGGTGCAGGAAGCCGTTGTGGTCGGGATCCACGAGGCCGTGCCGGGTCTGTTGATCTTCCGCTCGAAGCACGCCCAGGATCTGGACGACAAAGCGATTGTGGACCAGGTTTGGGGAGCCGTCGAAGACGCCAACTCCCGCGCTGAGCAATTTTCGCGGATCTCCCGGGGACTGGTCAAAGTCTTGCCCGCCGGTGTCACGTGCCCAGCGACGGACAAGGGATCTATGATCCGAGCTCAAGTGTATAGGCAATTCGCTACAGCGATTGAAGAGATGTACCAGTCTTTGGAGGCAGGGACCGGTGCTCTATTATTGGGGGTCAAAGAAACCGAAAGGTATCTTCTCAAGCTTTGCCAAGAAGATCTGGGTCAACAGATCACGCCAAGCGATAACCTTTACTCCAAAGGCGTGGACAGTCTCCAAGCGATCAGCCTCCGCCGGATGATTCTGAGGGACTTCCGGTTCCCCGGTGAGCGGACGCTCCGTCCAAACGTCGTGTACGAGATGGGAAGTATATCTCGGCTGGCGAAAGAAATTTGCGCGATCCAGCAGGGCCGGCTCACAGATGCCCCGGATGGTTCTCGGGCACTCGCAAATAGTCTGTTCGCACATGGTCTAGTCCAGAAGTACGGATCGTTCAAACGTCACCACACTCCAGGGCACTGTGCCTCTGATCGCAAAGCTGTGGTATGTCTTGTGGCACGCTCATCCCTGCCGCATACGTGCAGTACTGACCGAAGTAGATTTTGACCGGCGCGACCGGGTCCACCGGCGCGCATCTGCTCGAGAGGCTAGTGGAAGATAAGAGTGTCTCCACGGTATACTGCCTCACGCGACAATCCCGGCCGAAAGAAGCCATCCTGCGCAGTCTTGCACACAAGGGCCTAGCCGTTGTCGAGCCCGACGCCTCCAAAATCGTCGGCCTCGAGAGTAGGCTGGACCGAGCGGATCTCGGCCTCGATCCATGCCTGTTGCACGAGTTGAGGCAATCCGTCTCCCTGGTCATCCATACCGCATGGCCTGTCAACTTCGCTTTGCCACTGGAGAGCTTCGAACCACACATCCAGGGCCTCCACAACCTGATCAACTTCTCGCAATCGGTCGACTCCGCCACTCCGGCCGTTGTCCTGTTCTGCTCCTCGATCTCAACCGCCCTTGCGTCATCCGTATCGGACATCGAGGAAACACCGCTGGCGATCGAGTCGGCCCTGTCCATGGGCTACAGCCAGTCCAAGTGGGTGGGAGAACAGATCGTCAGTCACTCGCGGAGTATGGGCGCGCGTGCCTATTCCCTGCGCATCGGACAGATTTCCGGTCACTCCCAGAGGGGTCTGTGGAATGATTCGGAGGCGATTCCGCTGCTGGTCCGGTCCGCCCTGACGCTGAAGGCGTTGCCGGAGATGGACGCGACGTGCTCCTGGTTGCCTGTGGATCGGCTGGCTCAGTGCATCCTCGAGATTGCCGGGACATGCCTCGAGAGAGCGGGAACGGCGATCCGTGACGGCGTCGACAGCTCTACTAATGGTGACGTCGAAACCGGCACCGGCGATGGCTCGGTCTATAACATAGTGAATCCCCACGCCTTCACCTGGGCCGCACTGTTGGAACAGCTCAAGCGAGGCGGATTTCAATTCGACCCGGTGCCTTTTGCCGAGTGGCTGCAGCTGCTGGAGGCGAGTGAAGCCCGACACGAAGAGAGGATCAATCCAGCCGTGAAGCTGATCTATCATTACCGGACGACATATGGCCAGGGGGGCGCCGCCGAGCTCGCCAAGACCTTCACGATGCAGAATGCCCGACGCGACAGCGAGACCCTCCGAGAGGGCACCGAAATGCTGGAAGGCGGTGTCCTCGGCCGCTATGCCAGGGATTGGCTGAATCGCTGGGAGACTAGCTCCGCGCGACCGGCGACCGCCAGCTAATCGCGTCCGATGCGCATGATCATGATCGTACTTTATCAATTCCATGCCTACTTTCTTGCGATCCTATTCGGCCCCCCGGAGAGCCCATTTCTAGTGACTATTTTCAAGATGTTCCCATTTCGCAGACCATTCCAGTATGATATTTAGCTTAGAGTGTTTTCCGTATCTTTCCTAGATCTTTCAATGTTCCTTGGTCGGTATGACTAAGCATGGCATCATCAACCCAATGGGCCACGCCATGACGTAATTCCCAGGTGAGCGGAACACCCCAACGAGCGGAACACCAACTCAACTCCACCACAACACAAATCAATTGATTCTATTCAAGCATCAACCACAACACCAAAATTAATTCAATCATCTCAAAAAATGGAGAATCAAGAGGGGAGAATCCTACTAGCAATACAGTCAATTCAAAATAATAAAATTCCTTCTATTCGTCGCGCAGCTCAAGTTTTTCAAGTTCCTCTAACTACCCTCTACGCGCGTCTTAAGGGACGAACTTTTCGCGCGGATTCTCGCGCAAATAATCATCGATTATCTCAAAATCAAGAGGATTCGCTTATACAATAGATTCTCTCTCTAGATTCACGTGGAGCGCCTCCGAGACCTTCTCAAATACACGAAATGGCAAAGATCTTAATCGAAGCAGAAGGTTTATCTCAATCAAAACCAGTGGGAAAGAACTGGGTCACCCGACTCATAAAACGACGAGATGAGATCAAAGGGCGCTATTCAAGGCGATATAATTACGAGCGAGCAAAGTGTGAGGATCGAGAGACTATACAAGAATAGTTCAACAACCTCCAAAGGATTCGAATGGAAAAAGGAATAGCAGATAATGATATCTTCAATTTTGATAAAACGGGATTCGCAATAGGCCTTATCGCTACTACAAAAGTAGTAACGAGATCCGAGATGCCTGGAAGGCCTCATCTTATTCAACCAGGCAACCGAGAATAGGTGACTACGATTAAATGCGTCAATTCAGCTGGATGGTCCGTCCCTACATGCATTATCTTCAAAGGCAAGGTCCATATTGAAGGTTGGTGTAAAGAAAGGTCTTTACCGGGTGATTGGATGGTTCAAGTCAGCGCAAATGGGTGGACCACCGATGAGATAGGACTTCAATAGCTTCAAAAGGTCTTTATACCTTCAATTTCTCACCGACGAGTAGGCAAATACTGCCTGCTCGTTCTAGATGGTCATAGAAGCCATCTCACGCCTACATTCGATAAAATATGTAAAGACAATAGAGTTATTCCTATCTGCATGCCTCCACATTCATCTCATCTTTTGCAACCTCTCGATGTTGGTTGTTTTGGACCTTTAAAGCGCGCTTATGGAGGCCTCGTGGAGCAGAGAACTCGCCTCGGGTATAATCATATTAATAAGCTTGATTTCTTACAAGCATACCCTAACGCTCATCAACAGGTCTTTACTGCTTCAAATATAAAGACTGGCTTTGAAGCTACTGGGATACGGCCTTTTCAACCTCACCGAGTGCTTAATAAGTTAAATATTCAACTTTTAACACCACCTCCACCAGCAAGCAGAGGTTCTACAACTTCTACTTTAGCAACACCTCATAATCTCAGGCAGCTGCAGAAATCAGCTTCAACAATCAAGCAGTTGCTTAAGCAAGGATCCCAGAGCCCTTCTACACCTTCAAAAACGGTCTTTGAGCGCTTCTTCAAAGGTTGCGAATACGCGATGAATAATGCAGCCCTTTTAGCGAAAGAAAACATCGATTTACGGGCGGAGAATGCAAATAATCGATTAAAAAGGAAAAGATCAAGGCGTCAAATGACCCCTACTGATTCAACTTCAATCGATGCAACTAGACAAGCAATTCAGCGCCGAAATGATCAAGTTAAGGCTATACAGGAGGCAACTTTGGAGGCACCAAGACGAGCTCCACCGACGTGTTCTAATTGCAATATTCAAGGCCATACTAGAACTAGATGCCCTACACGTACAGTTTGAATAGCTTCAATAAAAAACGCGTTGTTTTGTTGTTTTGAATAGCTTCATTTTAGCTGCGTGGTTGAAAATCTCGGTTGGGTGTTCCGCTCGTTGGGGTGTTCCGCTCACCTAGGAATTACGTTATAACCTTCCGGACGGCGGCACTGTGCAGCACGATCATAAGCTGCGTTTAGGGGCGGGAAATGTATCAGAATCATTTATTTTCGTGATATCTGGTTGACCCAAAATCTCACGTTATCGGTTACTTTGTAGTGAAATCATCGGTTGGAATTGTTGTGTCTGATCATAGATCCCCTGTTGCCGTGTTAGTGATATATATTCAACAGTCCAGTTTTCCACAGAACGGTTGACAGACTCGAAGAAGCCGACCATCAGGTAAACACAAAGAAAAACCTGTAATTTAGTGTATTCACGGTGACTATGCCTCATTTTTCGATGTTTTTGACCACGAATCTCTTACCTTACATAGCGAAACAACGAGAATCAATCGAGTAATATACGTTTCTACAAGGGGTTCATGTTCCAAATGGCCAAGCTGAACCCGAGGTTGAACCCCTGAACCCCCAGTAAGGACTAGCGTTGTTAACATCGGCAGGGCTTTGTCACCACATTCCCGAGGAAAACCGGGGCAATTCCTTCCATGCTAACCTAAGCCCGTACCGGTTGCCCATTTGCCCATTTGCCCATTTGCGGAAGCCTTACTCCTTGCCCGAGTATTCTCAATACGAGCCCGCACCTTCTCGATCGAATGCCTGCACAATGTTCTACTGTTCGAACAGAAGCAAACCACGGATACTATCTAGTCATGGATGGGTATTACAGTGTAGCCCATGACTTCGGTAGAACTCGACCGTTCGTGGATTTAAGCAGCGAGGCAGTGAATTGCCCGTCTGACGACAAGAATCCCAGGTTGGCCAAACAGTTATCCACCCAAGCTTCCTGTTCCAGCTGGTTTAGTCGGTTTTCCCATATCCTCTTTAGCCTTTCCCGCCTCGAGCGCGGGCCACGCGATCATTTAACTGCCCGTGCCGTTGGCCTATTTGCAATTTCTGGGACTACACTCCCTGACGTGCGGGCATAAGAATCCGTGATCAGGTGGCCTAGCAGGAGATGCTCTTTACTGTCGGTTTTTGGTAGAGATAAAAATCACTTCACCCTAAAGCAGGCAGAGTATCTGGGTATGACTTGGTATGACGAGAATTGACCCACAGTCATACTGTATACAGAAGAGCACTTTGGCCTGATGGTGAAGTTTGTAGTTTCCATATATAGGCAGATATCGTTAAACCTGACGCCTGCATTTACCCAGTCGGACAGTGGGCCAGGTGCAAGGAGTCCACCCATCTTCCGAGCGACTTGCCGACAAATAAATATAACCCTCAGCTGCTACAGACATGGCTTCACATCTCTATTCATTAGATTACATACAACCAACCTCCCCACTCCTGTCTCAGCATTAGACAGTGACCGATCTTCAACCAAGAATGGCTCGACGCACAATTGTTTACCGGTTCAGTCAAGCGACACGCCATCAGTCTCTGCACCGCGCGGCGCAGCCAGCGGCTCTATTCCAGGACACGAGACTGGCTCATGCGTCACCGTTATTGGTAAGACTTCCCATGTGAGCTCGAGACGTTTAATGTTAATGGTTCAGCTCCACCCCAAGGGTCCCGACCCTGCGGTCAGTCCCTCGCAGCAGCTCCTCCAGTCGTTACTTGATGGGTATAGACCCCGGTTTCGACCGCACCGTCTGGGGCGAGAAGCGGAGGCGAACTTGCGGTTGGCTCCCCAGCAGCAAATGTGTTACTACAACGGCAAGCTGTTCGGCGGCTACCTAACCCTGCTGCTGGATCAGATCCTGGCGGACTGCTGTCGACCGCCGGACCAGCATCGATCAGCCGTCACGGCCTACCTTAACACCTCTTTCAGGCAATCAGTCCCGCCGCATGTTCCGATCCGCTTGCGCGCCTGGCCGCACCAGGTGGAGGGCCGCAAGATCTACCTTCACGGCGCTGTCGAAATTCCCCGCGACGATGGACAGGGGTTGGTTCCAGCCATCCTCGCGGAAGCCCTGTTTGTACAGCCCAAGTCGTAGGGCCGGGTTTCGAAGGATGGTGGCTGGCTACGATCGAAAGATTCTCAGGTGCTCTCCCCGCGGCGGCCACAGGCTCTGTATGTAAAGTTTATCTAGTCGCGGTGCAGTGATACCTATCCTGGTCTTCTTTCATCCAAGTTTTTTGCCTGGTCTACTTTCGTTGCCTACAGAGGTTTGGGTTCGAAATCGCCCGCCACGAGCGCGACGCAGAACTCCAAACATGGGTTAACACATATCTTGGTAGGGCTCTAGGTTCATTAGAAAGGCAATATTTTACGAGAAATACATGTAGTCGGAGGAAAAGGAGAACTCTCGTATGCTTGTTTGACAGCGCCCCCATAGCGAGTCTAAGAGAGTTTATAGTACTGTAGAAAGCTCATCGGGCTTCATCGTAAAGCTGACGGCTTACGGATGCGACGGCCAACAGACCGTTGCTGGGGTTATGTTGTATTCAGGGCATAGTTCAGCGGTAATACTGGTTTTGCACTTGAGTATACTATATCCTAGCGCAGAGTGTTTGCCGGACTTGGGGATGTTGCCCACAGAACAAGACGTTCCATCTAACCAGCAACTAGCCATGCAATCATTATGAAGCGGTCTGATTCCAGTCCGTCGCGGGGAGGGCAAGGAGCCTTCTAACGACCTCCACATGGCCGTAGAGTGCGGCAGCCCAGAGCGGAGAGCGGCCTGACCGATCAAAGGCGTTCACATCAATATCCCGGTGGGATAACAGCATATCCACGATCGTGACATCTCCCTTCTTGGCTGCCAACCAGAGTGGTGTTTCCCCTTGCTCATTCTCTATATTCGGATCTAGTCCCTCTTTCTGGACGAACAAGTTTATTAGGGGCGCAGCATTATCTTCCCAACAGACAAGATGATGGAGGGAGGCAGAGGACTCGGAGGGTTGGTTTGCTGATTCAGATAGGCGACTGCGAGCATTCACGTCGATTCCATCCACCGCCAGTAGTCGCTCCGCCACCGCCTTATGTTGGGAATAGGTCGCCCACCACAGGGGCGTCCTCCTGTCTCTATCCATAACATTCACATTGACGTTCTTGCCACCGAGTAACAAGTTGACCACATAATAGAGATGGCCGGCCCTTGCGGCTTCGTGTAGTGCGGTCGATCGAAACCGGTGATCGCAAGACCACAGATGGAGGTTGTCCTGCATGAGTAGCAGTTCCACAGCTCTAGAATGGCCGTTCTGTGCTGCCAGGGATACGGTTGACCATCCTTCGTCGTCCTTGACATTTATATCAGCACCGTAACCTAACAGCGCCTGAATGACCGTAATCTCGTCTTTGCTTGCAGCCCAAAGCAATGTCGAACTGCCTTCTTGTTGAATGTTTAACCGGTAAAGAACGCCGAGTGTAATTCGCAAAAGTGTCTTGCTAGTGCGGCATAGTGACAGAAGGTCCGTGGAACTATCGATCTCGTCTGCAATAGACAGAAGAACCTCTTCCGGTAGCTCGAATAAATGCATGTCTGTTGGAGGTTTCAGAGTTCGGCGCGTGAGATGTATGCTAAACTGAGATTTTATGTCCTGTGGGAAACTGAGGCCTTGGTAGTTCAGAGTCAAAGTAAAGCAAATCCATAGTCATCACTGGCGGAATCAATGGGTAGTTTTATATGAAATTCTTCAACATGACATGGGCGCTGTGGTTTGGTGTACAGGTACGCTCTCAGTGACTTGTGCATTTACCATAAGGATGGTTGCTAGCTAAGCTCCGCTCCTGCAATATCCACTCTGATTCTGCAGAGCACTGAACATCTGCGGAGCTTTTCGATGACCTCTGAGAGCTGCTTGTCACGTTCCTCCGAGAGCTTGCCACATTCCTACGAGGGGCGTGCGGGTTTCCCATGATATATATATTCCCGAGCGAAGTAGGAAGAATCCTATAACAGGCCGCTTTATCCTACGAAAACTGGAGAGCTCCGGCATACAGTCGGGCAACAGAAAATGCCCGACCTACAGTACCCTGAAAATAAAAGTAGATTCAACAGTTTGCAAGATGCGCCAGCCATGCTCATCCAGGAAGACATAAAGTCACACGGCCGGCCCTGACAATTTGGATTCATCTCTACATCGATTTTGCCCTGAGGTACAACAGAGCAGACCGAATTAATCACTCAAACACCGGCCATTGCCATCTTATCACAATGTCTCCTAATACAGCTTGCGAAGGCGATCCCAGCTGCCAGGCGAAATTGATGCTTACAGTCTGTCACCCCCTGGTACACAGTCCTCTACAAAAAGGGTTTACCACTCCCTTCGAACCTGACGATTCGGAGCACAAGGTTTATCCTTCTAGTTCTATGGTAGGTCCAACTGAATTTCTCCTTCATTTAATATTAGTTTCAGGGATTTGAGATTCTGAAGAGCCAAGGTGGAATAAGGTATGCGCGAAATGTTCTCGATGAAAGATTAGGCAGACGGACTGTCCCAGGACCCTAGGATATAGGCCATTGATAACGTCCAGGCAACTCGCTAATCCGAATGGCTGTCAGTGCTCCGGTGAGTTACCCTGTGACGGGTGTCACGGAAACAATGTAAATTGTGCTCCCCAACTCGAGTGTTGGGTGCCCAATCATCCGGCTACTGAAGTAGCAGAGGAGCTCCAATGCAGTTCGCTCCTCCAATCCATGGCAGAGTCGCATATATACATGTATCAAACCATGGATAATGTTGGCTTCATAGCCCAGGATAAGGTCCGAGATCGCACTCCAGGCGTGAGCCTTTCTACTGATGGGCACACGGTAGAGGAAGAATTATCCGGGTGGCACATTGGGGAAGATGAGATGTCAGCTGCTGAGGGTCTGATAGACTTGACGGAAGGTCCCCGCCTGGGGGAAGCAGCCCCGCGGTCAGATGTCCCGGTAGTAGAGCCGGACGTGCTCTATCTCAAACCCGAGGCACAACCTGAAATGGCCGAGATCGCATCATCGCCACTGCTCTTTCCCCCCGCCAATGAGTTGGAGACTCTGGAGCCCAATGGACAGATATCGGACTTTTGCTCTGAAACAATAGATCCGTGCTGCATATCGCTTTCCGGCTACCGAGATGCGGATGTTCCTCTTTCGACTAGCTCCTCCCCTTTGCCACAACATGAGCGATTAGCGTATCGCCAGAGGAACCCAGAGTTTCAACTAAATGGGGTATGTCGGAGATTAGCCACATACAACACTACCCCGTATTATCCACTCCTACGATATGATCGTGGATCAAGGATGGTGGATTGTCCACCATTCGTTGCAAACGCCGACCCAAATGTGGTGCTGTCGCTGCCAGCATGACCGTTGATGGCCCAAGAGCATCGTGGCGATGGTCTGACGTGGGTATCGTCTTGATAGCATGTTCTTGGAAGGGGTTGGGTCTGTGGACAGTGGTCGCACGGGTTAGGGCGGTTATACGGAGATACATAATGGGCAGTATGGCCAGTATGATGCTATCTCCATCCAAATGTAAACATGCTCACCTGGCAACCGCAACATCCAATACGCTGAGAATTGTGGACATAATGAAGCGATATGGCACTGCGTAGCCGTATCTACCGTAGATAAGATGTTGACTGACAGGCTATAAAGAATCGAATATTCTGGGGCATTTTTTCTGGGAGATCAGTAAAAAAAGACTACTTACTGTATATTTAAATGGCGAATCGAATATTGCTTATTCCGTCTCCTAGGCCCTGATGCAAGGTCGAAAACTTGAAAATGCAGCAAAGTTCATTATCACGACCCTTCACCCGCTTCCACCCAAAACTATCTACCCACTCGCAAGGACCCATGCCTTTGTTTCCACAATTTCGTGCCTATTAGGAAAATGACTAACGTATTCCTTTGTCCGGTCAAGACTGAAACATACATTCGTGGGGTCAACAAGTCACTACAGTCAACCGGACAGCGCAGTCTCTTACAGTAGCCCAATTGCGATCCATGGCTACTGACCTTGTTATGAATGAACTGCTTGTCGGCTTGCTTTTGGGTCAGGGAATGGCAGGTAAGGTGATACGAATGATGCGATCCGCCTGGGCAATACAGTCATTGAGATTCCTCTGGGCCAGCCGCCGTGCTGCCTCCAGCAGGAGGCGACGATACCTATCAGATAGCGGAGCCCTGTCAGATTCGCTCAGCGGCCCTAAGCGTGCGTCGAGATTGGCGGCGATGCAGCCAGAGCGTTTCTTCCATTGATTGAAGAGGGCATTCACCTGAAGCCGGCACCGCTGAAGCTCCGTTCCACACTGCCGGTCGCTCAGCCAGACCGTTGCAAATCTATGCGCCGTGTCTAATTCTTTGAGGAGCTGGCGATGGCTTTGCCGTTCTCGATGAACTGCTGCATGTCGGATACCGACCACGTGGGCTCGCAATCGGCCCAGGGCTTCCTTCGGGCTTGTTGTGGTGTTCCCGGCCAGGCGGCCGCGATGATCCTGTTCCAGCGCCCGGAATGCGGTATGCAATTCTACCTTTTCAGCACAGTCCCAGTCCTTCGACTGACACAAATCAGGATACCATCTTCTGGCAAAATCAAATACGCAGCGCTCGAGTCGTCGCTGGACTGCCGCCAGAACTCGATGCTGTGCTTGGAACGGCAGCGCGGCGGCCCGTGGCTGCGTCGATAGCTTAGAGGGCATCAAGACCGTGGCGACTTCTTCAATTCCACAGTTTAAGTGACTGTGTCTTGGGCGGATATAAAATTGGTCTGCGTTTCTCTGATGAGTGAGGCGTACAGAAGGGACGGACTTGGCTTAGTTGCCTACACAACGGAACCCCGAGAGAAGCCTGGTGCAACTATATGGCCTGTAGTGGATTTGTGAGCCTTGAATATGGAGGAATGGACATACAGTAATAGGTCTGGCTGTGAAACAGCGGAGAGTGGTGCTTAACAATTCGCAGCCCGCCCCGAGCCCCAAGTCAGAAGGTCGAGAGAGTTATACATACAGTAAAGCTCTAGGGGCGAGTATCTGCGCAACCCCCTACTTCTTCTCATTCTGGGAAAGACTGGACCAACAATGCCCCTCTTTTCTAATGTACTCAGCAGCTGTCGTTGGTCAACAATGATCTAAACTATCCGCCCTCACGAAGTGAACCCCAAGGAGACCATACCCCAAGGTGACCAGGATCCGCGAGATCCCTGTGCGAACCCTTTCTGGGTCGTAATATTTTTGCCCGAATATCTGGGCAGAGAGCTTGGTACTTGATGTTCTACTGTAGAGAGATTCAAAGCTTAAAAGTGGAACTTCAAGCTAAACACAAGGTCGGACCCCTGGGCAACTCCCGATACAGACTAGCGTTCCAAACACAGCCAAGACACGACGCGCATGTCCGGGCAAGCCCCATGGACTTCCGAATTCACCCTCAGCCACTGTGAGAAAGCCAGAATGACTAATGGTCCGCGCCAACTTATCATACTTGACCATACTTGGCCCTGCCTAATGACATGGCTTCCCGTCGGGTGTTGGATGGCGTGCATATATTGCCCGGGGGATATCGTCTCACAGTTGCTGCTCACTGGGCATTCGAATGGACAGATTCTACTGTAGGGGCGTGAGTATTCCGAGTTTATACAATTTCTCATTCACCAACCTGCTGTTTAGCCATTTCCGTTTAATTAGGTTTATCGCCCGCATTATCATAGTGGTTCCATAGCCCACCATGGCCACATACGTTCTGTTGATAAGCAGGCACCAGAGGAACCGACGAGCAAAAGATTAATCGATCATTTTGCGCAGCTACTGTACGTCAGACACGGGTTGACAGACACATGTCAGCCCGGAGATATATGAGGCATATTAAGTTACTAGCCGCCCAGGATTGCCTTCTGTTCCGCACTTCTTTCCTTCCTTCCTTCCTTCTTTTTCTTTCTTCCTCCCTACGGCCATTGTCTTTGGCAAAACACTTCGGTTCGATGATGCTCGTCGTTCTGGCATCCATAGTGGTGACATCTCTGCACGAGTTCTGGATGAGGCTGTCAGTGACTCACAAAAACACACAGCGGAATCAGCATTCTGGCAGAGATTGCCCGCTTCCTAGGGATCATCACCATTATGTAGACCAGATTGAATCACTGAGGACTACGCATGAGACGGCAGTACGACTCCAGACCCTCATACAGACTGACGGCGGGGGGAGCTGGCCTCCGCGAGCCGTTCACCACGCGGAATGGCCTGAGGCACTACGTCCATACCATGAAGTCTACCACGCAATGTCTCCACAACTCGCGAGCAACGTACACCTCACCAACGACCGAATGAATCAGTCCCGTTGCAGGGCTTTTCGCAGTCAAATGACGGCTCTGCTACAAGCACACATTAACCTGGACACGGTGGAGAATGCTCTCTGCGACCTGGCACAGGGTAGTGGATTCTCGCGGGAGACCTGCAACGGATTCTTTGCCTGCGTTGCCTACTGCCGTCATGCATTCCGGTGAGAGCCCAATTCCGCGGACAGTCGATTGTGTTAGCCTAATGAAATTTTGCGCATAGATGGGCCACAAACCCCATCGTCAAGGTTGCGCAGGATGATAAGGCGATCGATTTCCCCATGGAGTTGGACATCCCGTGGGACTACCTTTGTCGTCGATACGGTATATACTCACAAGGGGGGAACGTCATGTCAAATCTTCTTTGTGATTTCGACACGAGCGGAAGGATGATCTATACGATCAACGAGGGGATGCCAGATATTGTGCGGTCATCGGAGTACCACTTTACGTATATTTTCGTGGAGATGGAGAGGCTGGTAGGTCCGAATTGCTCTCCCGCTTCGGGATATCTAGCTCATGGGTACATCAAAGGCTGTCCCTATCTACCTCCACATCTCCCAGTCGATTGATTACTTTGAGAGGGGAGACAAAGCGCAATGTGCGGAGAAAATACGGTCTATATTCCGTCAACTACGGAAGGTTTTCCAGGCGTTCTACAAGACCTTTGTACCTTCCACGGTCAGTCCGGCTGTCTGGCTGTCTTACGTCCAAGGTTTTCACGGATGGGCCGCTGGAACGATAGATGGTGAGACCTACACAGAATATGATGGAGTCCAAGGAGGCCAGATGGTGCTGATTCAGGTGATTGATGCCTTCCTTGGCATGGACCCGTTTCTTTCCACCGAGGCTTTTCGACGCCATGTCACCTACTACCAGCGCGGCTTTATCGATTCCGTCCGGCGCCATTCATTCCGTCAGAAAGCTCTTGGCGCAGGGGACGGCGAAATCAATATTCACATGATTGAAATCGCCAAGCTGATGCATGTATGTTTCGTAGTATCGCTATACCTTTGTCTGGGAGCTGATCGTGTGGTGCAGGTCTTTCGAAGTTCCCATCGCAAGACAGCATCTAAGTATCTTGCAGTGCCGGCGCCCGAGAGAATAACCATGACAGCTGGAAGCTCTGTCTTGCAGGGAGGCAGCGCTTCATCAAATCCACTGGCGCATGTTGACTCTCTGCTTGCGGCCCGCCTTCGTCAGACGCGGGCACTGGGGAAACCCAAAGACATATAAGGCTTTCCCCCCCTGTCCAATGCCATCGCCGCTACCTGTGTTGAGCTTGCTAACGGGGTTGTGGAATAATTCCTAACGCATGGCTCTAGATGCAAGACTGAGAAGATTCAATAAGTAGGGACAGACCATCTTCTGCGTCGGTGCTTCTAGAATATCATATCAGGCAATTAATTAAGTTCTTGGGTATTCTTCTCTCTGCCCGTTTGGTTCTCTTATAAAGTTGCGCTAGGTGGTGACATCTGGGTATTCCGGGGGGTTCAGGTACTGGACGTATTATGCCCACCAACGGACACCTGATGTTTGAACACATTATTGGCTGCCTTCCCTAAAACGAGGACAGCCTTCACCTCAAGGGTAGACGTTGCATAACTCGACAAAAAAAAAATCATAGTTGAATGCATGACTAACCAACCACTTATACAGAACTCGCGCGCCTGCTGTTTATCCCATTTGCCAGTCCGAGGACCAGGAACAACTGCTGATCTGCATGCATCGATTGTTGCTGCCATAGTATCTACCGGGTTGGCATGTACTGTATCTGACTGATCAGGAGCAATCGCATAATTGGCGAATATTACGGTGAAAAGTTCGGGAAAAAAAGCCCTGAGTGATCTGGCAAGGCTGAAAAGCTATTGCATCCGAGTGATGAGTTTCGAGTTGACTGCGACTTATCCATCGGCGTCATTGCGTGAAGGGAAGAGTAGATGGGCAAGATAAGGAAAGGGCAGTTGTGATGAGCCGGGAGCCCGTTTCGCTAACTTCGAACACCCATAAGAACGGCCCGAAAGTGGATATGACCAGCTTCAAAAGACTTTGAAAGGGTGCCACCATAAGCTATGATAACCATGATATCAGCTTGGAGGTATACGCAGTGAGTTAAGAATCATTAAAGGTCTGCATTATGAATTCTATAGTATGTATTGTGTTCATAATGTGCTTATGTTTGGACGTGCACCAATCCTAGGATTCAGGGTCTAAAGTATCATGTTTAGCGCCTTACGGAACAACAACTAGGCCACCTGTCTTGGGAAACACGAATAGCAAACAAGATGGAAACACCGAGTGAGGTAAACTTGTTGTACCAGCTGGTGACATTCGTCGCAAAATGTATTTTGCCTTTCCCTTGTTGCCTGGGCGTATCTGTAATCCCAGTCACCGATTTCTGCCACCAACTGAGACTGAAGGCGCTGTTGTGCGTTTTGGAGGTGAGAGTTTCGCTCTTGAAGATAGTTGTTACTCGATATAAGAATATTAACTCGGTTTTCGAGGGACTCCGCTGCCTCGTAGGCCATTCGGAGCAACATCTGCCATTTATTGGTGCGAGGATTGCCTGCTTGGGCTAACATTAGCCCTCATCCCACGTTTATGAATATTTAAAGACACTTACTTGCCAATGGAGCAACAATTCTTCTCCTAGCCATATTGCTGAAACGACAGTGGGTTACTGTATTTCTTCTAACAGAAGGGGACTGTAATGGCTTTATAGTAGGGCGATTTCGTCAAGAGAATAGATATGGATCGATCAATCGTCTCTTCCGATAGTGCAGCTGAAAGGTTCTAGGAAAATAGAAAAGAGAAAGATTATGGAATGAATTTTCTGTGGTGGACTAGCTCTCTACTTAATGTACCACTGAATATAGGGATAACGGGCAAGCAGGTCCTCCTACGGTATAATAGGCTTTCTTGCCACACATTTATCCTGCGACGTGATACAACCGTTCTTAGAAACACCACCAACACTCGTAGAAGCTACTTAAATTAATAGGTCGCCATATTTTGCGCCTCGGATAACCCAGACCAGGATTTAGGAAAGATTAGCGAAATATCCAGCATCATCCAGAACGCTCCTTTCTGGACCGTCTGATTCCTGAGCAAGTTTATTCGTCACTGAATTTCATCCATGTTACTTAAATCAAAGTACATCATAAAAAGCGGTTGAATTACATGCATGCCTATCACCCTTATAGCTGTAATACAAATGGTCATCACAGAGGGTGTCAGTGGCAATTATTGCTCAACGGGCGGGGCATAACATCATCGAAATAGTCAATGAAAACGGATTGTCTTATCCCGCTGCCTTGTAAAGCTCAGTATATTGGACGCAATGTGCAATGTCTGGGGTAAAAATTGAGGTATCAATATCGGGCCGAGAGTTAAACATTAAAATGGCCCTGTAATTGGTGATTCGAAACAAAGGCCGGTCTTGGGCAAGCTGAATTGGCCATGGGGCATTCGATACTCCGTTTAATAACCACGTATCGACCGGCCACTTCCGTAAGTCTGACATTCCGAAGACAGTGAGAAGGAGAACGACGATTATTCTAACGAATAGAATGCGCTTGATACTGTGACCCAATTGCAGATGATATATTTTGCGTTACTACACACGTAGACAAGGATTGAACAGTGCAAAATGTTGAAAACCCGGAGCCCCGCCCGGCAAGCTTCGTGAACAAACAGTAGATTTAAAGCAGACCTACGGCCAGCTAATCTCATCTGTTTTCCATTAGTGATCGCCATACTCTAGGAGGAACAAGACAACAAGAGCCCTCAAATTATCAGAATGACTGCTGCAAAGACTGATTCGACATCACCGACACATTCAACGTGCTTCAGCACACGGTCCCTAGCCAGCATATACGGGAATATCCCCGGGCAACGGCTGCCAACCAAGAGGACGTTTTATACCTTGCTGTGAAGCAATATGTGCCGTGGGATAACGTACATCTTTCCCCTGGCGCTGTGAGCATCATCTCCGCGCATGCGAATGGAGTACCTAAGGTGGTCTTATTCCCATCCCATTTCCTCACGGTGCTGACGGAACCCCAGGAAGCGTATGAGCCCTTCTGGGTGGACATTTATCAGGCAGCCAGTAAATCCGGGCTAGCGATTCGTGGTATCTGGATGGCCGACGTGGCCCACCAGGGTGTCAGTGGTCTGGTGAACGAGGAACGCTTGGGGAATGATCGTATGTTTCGCTCATTCCTTCCCCTGCTGACGGCTCCTCCCCATTAACCCGCAGCTTCTTACCAGCTTCCACCTTTGACCATTCTCGGGACCCGTTACTCCTGATGAACCATTTCCGAGACAGCCTTCCGCAGCCAATCATTGGCCTTGGACACAGTATGGGAGCGACGCAATTGGTCCATCTCTCCCTTATGCACCCACGGATCCTGCAAGGTCTTTTTCTAATAGAGCCCATTGTTTCCCCTTATTCCGGGGCGAATCAGGGTCGATACCCGGCGGCGCTAGTATCCCTGCGACGTCGAGATACCTTTCCCACCAAGGACATGGCTGTAGCCCACTTTCAGCGCAGCAAGCTGTTCCAGTCGTGGGATCCACGGGCATTTGATAAATGGATACAACATGGCCTCCGTGATGCTCCACCTGGCTCCGAGCCGTGAGTGGTTTTGACGACCCCCAAAAGTCAAGAGTTGTCCACCTTTGTTCGACCCATTCTCGCCCCAAAATCGACCCCAGACCGTCGCGTGCTCTGTCCGGATCTTGCACTCGAGGCACTTGACGATGAACAGATTCTATTCTATCGCCCCGAACCGGTCATCACATTTCATAACCTCCCACACCTGCGACCATCGACCATGTACGCATTCTGTGAGAGCTCGCAGCTTGTCACCCGAGAGATGCGGACTGTGATCACGGAGAAGACCGGAACCGGCGTGGGTGGAAGTGGCGGGGTGGTAACAGGGCGTGTTAACATGACCGTCATCAATGACGCAGGGCATTTTGCTCCGATGGAACATCCGCAACGCCTAGCAGACCATGTTGTGGAGTGGCTACAGGGTGAAGACCGCCGGTGGATCACTGCAGGGGAATTGGAAAGGCCAAAAAATCGAGGGCAGGATGAGGGAAGCCCGCGCAAGATGAGTCGGGAGGTGTTGGCTTTGTTAGAGGGGACAAACAGTTGCCCAGACACAACAGCTCGTCCCCATAAATTGTGAGACCACCATGCCAAAAGAAAACATTTGGATGGCCTTTCTACATCACGGCAGCCTAATTTGAAGCGGTATTAGCAGCGAGTAAACTGATCTGATTAGAATAGTCCTTGGGTAGGTGTGGAGCGAGACGAAATCGAGTTGGCTTTGCATGGGACCTGCAGGGCACAGACGATAAACTTTCTAGTTCTGGTCAATGTAAACTTAAAGTATACCACACGGGAGGTTAAACCTGCTGTGCATGGAATAATAAGGGAAATAAGACGCAAAGAAGTGAGCTCCCCCTTTCCAAAGCAAAGATCTCGCCCGAACGGAACTCTATGATTCAAGCCTCGAACCAAGAAGCACTATCATAAGCGTTTGGCTCTAGAGACTCAAGCAGCCAAGCGGTTGAATTCGTATGCAATATGGGCTTTTGCAGTGTATTAACCAACAACCACTGACAAAATAGATCCATGCATGGCCAGGATTTGCAACCAATAATTGGGAAGCACGAGGGCATAGTCAATCTTTCAATTGGCTGGGAAAACACGGAGTCGATGGGAAATAGGTCAAAGAAGAGCCTGGGCAAGGTGGTACGTACCATCCGAGATCTTATCTTCATCTCCCCCAATTCCCCACCAGAGCGATTATCCAGATGTCAAGTGCAACAAAGCTGGGCGATGCTTATGACGGTACTGTATTTTAACGAGCCAACCCCGGGCAATTGGAGTGGACGCATAAGACTCCGGAAAGGTCATTGCAGGCGAGTAAATATGCCCGTTGATCATAAAGTGGCATGTTCTTCAATACCCACATCTGGCCATGGTCTAATTCTCAATTCAGATATGTATGCGGCTGTTTACGGAAGGCCCATTATGATATTATTATTTAGCCTCCAGTCTATCTTTTATTGCCTGAGTCAGGCGAACAACGTTTAGTGGTGAGCAGATCTATACGCCATGTCTATTTCTTGCCTTATCACCTTATATCGCCTGATATTGGCATCGCGAGGTGTATTATAGATCGAAGATGGCGTGGGTAACAGTTGGGTCGTGGGGGCCGGCGTGCATGACATTGGTACTGTAAGCAAATTAAACCAGAGTGGAACGGCTCAGATAGATGAATGCCCCCTGGTGTGGTGGATGACGATGTGGAGCTTCGGGTGTTTTCAGTATGACGAGGATAGCCACCAAGGGCTGCAAAAATATAATACACAGAATCAAAATACGAAGCTCAGCAGATGCCTCCAAGCGTTTCGCAGCGACCATGTAAGGCGTCTGCACGTTTCCTACCGTGAGAGCTTAGACTTTTGCTGGAGCCGACCAAAAAAAAAAGATAGGAATTACAGTGGTCGAAAACACTACTCGCGCCTACGTAGTAAGACGCAGACGCATATCTCACAAATAGATACGGTTAGAACCAAGTCTACAGGTAAGCACCGTCCGTTGTCGCTTGGGGGCGAGACGCATTTGTGTGGAAAAGAATGACGTGCCATGTACAGTAACTGAGGTACAGTGGGACAAGGGCATACGCCTATTGATAGGCATTGCTGGGCTAGTCGCTGGGCAACCCCAGAATAGATAGAACCATGATGGCAAAGCTGATTCAGTGCTATTGACGTATTTGTTAGTATTGGGTCGTAAGGGAGAGCAAAACCTACCGTATGGGCTTGGATAAAAGAACTTTTGCTGGGCCGGTCTATCAGGCAGGAAAATACTCAACAGAGTCAGCTTGGGCGTACCTTCGAGGAAGACTGCGATATGAACGGGCAAATACCGTAATAAATGGTTAATAGAAGCACGTGCTATTAACAAAAGGCTCAGCAAAGTAAAACATAATCAAGGAAACCCATTATATTGGCGTGGCTTCCACTGGCATGCCATGAAAGAGCTACAAGCCACTCCAGAAGTATCCGGTGAATATCGGCTTCTCTATATTATGAACTGGTTTCGTCGTATCTGGCTATGGCCCAGACGCAAGTATGAGGCGTACCCTTTCACGTGGTCCCAATGCTAACTGTGCGCCACCTATAGACGGGTGCATCGGACTGCTTCAGCTGAGGATCAAGGTGGCCTGGATGACCCCAAGGTCGGCTATTTTGTCACAGTCGGCGTGGGTTCCCCCCATGGGCGGGCCGCAGTGGAAGATTCAAGCTTGATGCGTGACGATACCCAAAGAGCCGCTGTCGAGAATTTGAGATGTGAGCGCTGCCATGGCCGTCGTTCTACGAGTTATCACTGCAGACACCGGGAAGCCTCTGTGCAGTACCCAGCCCGTGGCATATGTTCACGGCGGCGCACTGGCTGTGCGGGCGCACGAAAGGCTCTACAGCAAGGGCCCTGGCTTCAATCGACTGTGGATTTACCGGCAGGCGAACGGGTGAAAGAGCCAGGAATCAGCCCAAGCAATACGCAACTACAGCCAAAGTCTCCTGCTCCGGTATATGAACTCTGTGGAATACCGACAAGCTCGTTGGACAGGATATACGAACCTTAACTCCTCGATACTGTAACCTTTAAATGTACTGTAGAATCAATAGGCCTCCTTGCTACTTACATACATTATGATCGGGTGATTCCTTTCGTTCTCCAAAGTCTCATGCGCAATTGAACTCATGTAGGGCTGTGCTTCTTCCTTGGTGGCCTCAGACGAATCGGTCGTATGATTGCCAAGAGCTGCTCGATTTCCCCGGAGAGTGTTCTGTACTCGGCAGTAGATTGTTTTCCTCTCTGGCCAAGCATTCGCCGCTTCAAACGAGCCTCACGGAGCTGGTTTTCCAGGGACGGCCCACTGGCGACGAAGTCAACATATGGCGCTGTGCTGCTTGTAGCTTGTCTTCCGGGTGTCTTTCTTGGTGATCGTCTTGTCGGGTCTGGAGTATGAGAATATTATGTTCAAGGTCTGGGAACAGGATATCGTATACATACGCGTAGTCTGACATGATAAACGCATGGACTGCTTTATCGGCACGGCGCATGGTGCATCGCTGAGCCGTTTATCACTGTAAACGCGACTGTTGTGGTGCGGAGCCGGAACGCTTGAGGCCGAATCGACGCCATCCAGTAATGCCAGTTGCTCATTCAGCCAGGCCATGGGTGGAATGGGTGGGGCTGGAGACGGTGATTGGAGGAATACCGTAAGAAATTCATCGATGTCACTGTTTGGGTCACGCATCCTGTCTGCCCTGAACAGTGCTTACATAGAAACTTAATGACACCAAGGTTAGTCTGTGAAGTCCATGTTGAAGTAATGTACTCCTACCGTTTATAGGTGTAATCCTGATGTCGACGCCAGCAGTTGACACATTACAGATGCGCGCAGGAAGGCCTGAGTAACGATCGGTGCGTACGTGCCTGCCGGGCTTTATACCGGGCTTTATGCTTTACGCAGTATTAGAGCATCAGAAAGGCAGGAAAGTCTGATCATCTAGCGTCGCTCCTCAACCTTCTAGCCCGCAGAATGAGAAGGGTACTCCGCTGGCGGAAAGAACAGCCGATCCAGCTTTACTAGCTGGAAATAAATACGGGACCGGGAATCCAAGGAGTCCAACTGCAACTCTCAAGAGCTACATCCCAAGGTTGTTACATAACATGATCTACGGAGAAGTCTCCCTGCGTATACCATCCCTCCCTTGCAGGTTTCATGCTATATTAAGACTCAAGCAAGCTGCAAAGACGTTCAAACATACGACAGACTTTTACGACTTCTCAGTGTTCGAAAACCGGGAACGCATATATGCGAAATACATGGCTGCGCCTAAGCATGCTTGCCCCGATTGTCTATCCCATAATGATTGCCGTCCTCCTCGTTGCTATCGTGCGCCGTGCTGTCGTATGCAGTCGGGCTTTCCCGAGACGAGAGCCTATCGGCGGTTCAACTTGGCCTTCTAAACCAGAGCGGTGGTCGTAATCGTGCCTTGGACTGCCTTGCGCGGGACGCGCGTTGACAAGAGAGGTAGGATAGAAATCCCAGCTCCACAAAGGGATGGGATTCAGCCCATGCCACCGCACTAAGAAGGTGCCCTAAGGGGCCGCCGTGATGAGCTTGTTTCCACTATCCGTAGAACTGAACGTTCAGCAAACCCGAGTACGCCACAACACGAACTGATTAGCCGCAGTATCTTCGTACCCACTTCCTCTTACGGTTTACGGCCATACTGGACTCCAATGACTCCCTATTTCCTATCGGTAGGTGCTTTGCATACCGGGAAAATTCTCCTTATCGTGGCTGGCAGCGCCGTGAACACAAAAATCTATCAGGAACTGCCTTTCCTCGCCGCGGTGAACTATGTCATCTTGGCTACCGGCTACCTTTGGCTTGCGCGGCGCACGTCTAGATGTCACTGATTCAATGCACGCTTGATGTATGCAGCGTACTATATATTGGGTATAGCCACCATCTTAACAATCACGGCAGTGGTAGGGGTCTCGCTCCACGAATGGGCCCATGCGGTCGAGGTATCAGTCTCTCATCTCCACTGGGCCTGACAAACTTGATATAATGATTTTGAAGGTGTAAATACTTGCGGCTGTGCTGTCGGCTATCCATCATAGTTTACATGTCTTCGCTTGCTTCGACGGGCGTGTTGTTGCGAGGCCCAGTCGCCACACCCACCCGATGAATCGTTCGGACCTCTGTCCAGAGCCATGTCATACTGCTTCTTTTGAAATAGTTTAGAGGACAAAATCCAAGACAGCAATCAATGGACACGGTTGCCTAAGATGCTAACCGGCAGTCCGTGTATTTAATGTTATATACGTGGCAGTCTCAGACTTCAAAGAAACCTAAAAAACATTTGGAGAGTGCAATGGACCAATGGACTGAAACAAATACTATCCGCTATCCCCGGTTAAACCATCATCACCTTCGCTTTACAACCAACAGTAGCCAACTTCTATAGATACTCCACCTGGAAGTTCAGGTTTTTGGCGGAACTGGACCCGAGGCGGGAGCCGGGGCCTTTTGATTGGCAGCTGGGGTGACAGAGGGAGAATTAGCCGGGGCGTGGCCGTCGTTTCCGACCGGCCGACCTTCACCCCTGCCCTCCAGCAGCACGGCCGGAGCATCCTTCCAGCTATCACAAATCCTAGTGATCCCGTCTTGCACACTTTCAAACGATTTCTGGAAGTGGGTCAACAGCGTCCTCTGTTCCTCGTAGCGACCCTCTATGTCGCGCTTCTCCTTCTCGAGAGACGCGTTTTTGGTCTCCAGTCGGCGATTCTCCTTCTCGAGCCGCTGGCTATCAGCGTGCTTCAAGATGTAGGAATCCCACATGCGCCGATAGAGGCCCACGAGGCGTGCCGCCTGTGCGGCCAGAACGGGATCTGTCTTATCCAGCCGCTCCAGCTCCTCGGCCAAAGGTTGAAACAGCTCCGCGGTCGACGCCGTTTTCACGTCCTTGATGGGAGAATCTACCGACTGAGGTCAATGTAGTCAGTAGGCGTCTCCGTGGCTTGTGTCGGGCGACCTCACCTTTGGCAATGGTTGAACTCGAGGCGGTGGAGCCCGGAAATCATTGTCCCTTCCTCGCGGCGGCGACTCGGATCCGCGCTTGCGCTTAGGCTGGTAGTGATCCTTCATCGGGTGATGCATGACTGGAGCTATGTGCTGCTGAGAAGAAGCAGATCTTGCCATGAATACGGTTCTCCAGTGGAACGTAGTGCCTTTTTATAGATACCACGATTGCCTCGGAGCATGGGGGAGAGCAAAATACGCCGGCGAGCAAAGCATGAGAATGGCCTACGCATACACGGCCCATTTTGGCACGGTCATGACACACCAAATGAAGGAATACACTACAATGCTTAAAGGATCACGTTGATAAGCGATGCGCTCGATTCACCGAATACTCAAAGGTGTGGGCAAGAGGTGGGCTGGTGCCATCATCTTGTCACAGCCTAGTATTCCCCAGGTCTGCAGGGTTTCAACCATCGTGGCGCTCTTTATGCGATTCATTACTATGGTGAGCGTAAAATTGACGGTTATTCTCTACCGTCATCTGCCCGCTCGTCGGCATGGTATAAATAGACGCACATATAATCCAACAAGTGGTCCACATGATACTATATGGTCCTTGTCTTTCATTTAACCGCATGCATCGAGTAAATGGCTCAACCGAGATGTCTCTGTCGTACGCGACGGCTTGCAGAGCGACTACAACATGCGGTGCAGGCGAATGAGGCGGATCGCCCAACCCACGAAACCAACATCGAGGCCGGTTCCTCTCGGACTCTGCATGAGGAAGCGGAGAGGGAAAGGCAGTGGCGGTCACTAGCTCCGTCGCCAGAATTTGTGGGAAAACAAATGCGGAAAAGGTACGATAAGTTAATCAACAACAGAGTTACAGTCTTACTAAAATACACTGCTGTAGCCGTGACCTGAAATGAGATTCTCGATTACTATGCATCCCTAGGGCCTGGGCATATGTTGAGCGTGATGAATACAAGGTGGTCTATCCATCAGGGGGATTACCTGTTATTAGTTGGCATTGGTAGATGGCATTGGTAGATGGCATTGGTAGACCACATTCGCGCCTGAGATCTACAATGAAAGTCTTTACAATCTGCACCGAGGACAGCTGTTGAAACCAAGGCTCTCATGTTGCATTAGAATGACATTAGTTGTGTGGTATATCTCATGATGCTGGTAGAAGGGTTTATATATCCTCCCCATCGTCCCAGGCAATCAATACCAACAAAGAGTCCGGCGATTATGAGCCGATACCGAGAACATCCGGCATGCGGCGGTACGCCACCAGCGCAAAAGTAAAGCAACGATGTATTGCCTATGTGGGCCTAGCCATACGAACCACCCTCGCTAGTATAGCCTCATAGTGACATGCAAAGCATCATGAATAATGCTGCTGTAGGTGGTTCAATTCCTTCCACAGGGGATCGCTTACGGATCAGAATCGGGGGCAAAATTGCTCAAATGCCCGATTTTCTGAACATGCGTCGCTAGCCGTGACCAGCGGTGTTGATCATGAGCGCCCAATTATTTTTGCCCAGCGGCGCGGTTGCCCGCGTCGGCCCGACGCAGCAAGGGATGCGGGTAACAATGGTGTCGCCGGAGGTCTGACATAATAATCTGCATAATCCTTCACTTAGAAGGGTTGACCCTTTTTTAGTGCAGTGGAATTGCCACAAATGGAATTTGGTCATCCTACCTGGCAAAAAAATGTGTTTACGCGACAAACCACCGTTAAATTTGCGGCCACAAGTCCTTTTTATGGATTCAAGATGGCCGCCCGAGGTTTCATACTTTTATGGACCTTCCTGGGCAAGACTGTCCACGGCCAAAAGAACTCGATTAATCCATCCTAGCAACTAACCCCTGATGTTGTTGGATCGTAGCTAACCCATGAAGTTGAAACTGCCGAGAGAAAAGCCCGAATGCACCTTCCGACCGTCCTTGCTGATAAGTGCTCTCTGGAGCTCGGTATGAAACCAACCGTCTCGATCGACCCTGCGATACAACAAGAGAAGCAAAGAATGGGCATTTTGTGTGGCCACATTTCCGCATGTCTTGTGTGTGCCCCCTGTACCCAGTCTAGTCATCTGTTCGCCATGGCGTTCCTGGCACCGAATCAGCCGCACTCAAAACGTTTCCCACAAGAAGTCCCAAGAAGTTCTCCGGCTCAACCTCGCGCAACACTCGACCCGGGGAATGATATTGTATTGTTGGTGACTAGCAGTGTCTAGGGGCTAAGGACTTTCTTCGCGATACACGGGCAACGTACTGACGCAGCGAGAATAGCAGAAGGGTTCGTATTCGATGTTTGTACTTTGTGTTGTGCTATATATAGCGATAGAGCATGGATTGTAGATACATTGATGGATAGGGGCGCATGATATTTGCTCAAACCTGGTACGAAGAGGATAAGACCGCCCAGTCCACTCTCATGGGATATTAGACCGTGATACGAACCTGTGAGATTACGTGATCTAGCGGCTTGGCCCGCATACTCGAACCCCTAAAGAACTTACCCCTTTATCGAGAACACATCTATCGAAGAGAGAAGTCGTTATGCGAGAGAATTAAGAGCCCTATCGTTAGAAAAGCATTCGCTCCTTAGTAGGCTACGTGCGTGTAGCCGATACAGTGTCATCCTGCCTTCTTCCCCTGTGCATTTCATAACAGACCGCATCTGGAGCCCCATGCCGATATTCTTCAATGCAAGCTCAAATCGCCGCGTCCCAGATGTGCCTGCCATACGAGATGCTGTTCAGGATCACAGCAAGATGCATCAGATAGAGGCTGGGCTTCCACTCGCCCACCAAACCCAATCTCTCCGGACCCCTTGCCAGATAGCCGAGCCCCGCCAGAAGGTTCCAGCCAGCAAGCCGTATCAGCTCGACGGCGAGTGGCGATGGACGGGTCCAAGAGTAATGGAGGATATAAATCGGCGGCACTAGTGCAAACAAACCCAGTGCCAGGCAGAATCGGCGAAAGTATAAGTGGTGGGAAAGAAAGTCGGTCATGGTACCGACAACGGCAATGGTCAAACAAAGGAGGTATGCGAGACGGAGGTAGCCGTCTTGGTCACATGACAAGATCACCAATGGAACGGTCGTGGTATAGATCAGGAATAGGGTGCCGGCCTGTTCGAGCTTTAGCCAGGAAACGGCCTGGCTCCGGTAGAGCGTCCCTCTGATTCGGTGGGCCAAGCTGCATAGACACCAAAGTATGACGCCGCTACTGTACAGAGTCACAGCTTGTGTTTGGACAATAGTGCCTGGCGACGTTGGGAAATGCCAAAGCAAGAAGGAAACGAGGAAGAAAAGGAAGTAGGAAAGCCCAACCAGGTGGATCGAGACGAGGATCGCGCCATCGCGATGAAGAGCCTTGTTAATGAAACTCATTCTGGTATAGCAGCCGTTCGCAGCAGGGCGTGAAATCATTCTGCCCTTGCATCGTGGGCTGGCCTCGGAGGGCATATATATATGGCGTTCCTTACCTCACTAGGCTGCTAGGAGTGTGTACTGCAGTAGGGCTGGTTGACCGGTCTGGCTGATCCCGGGGGCATTCATCCGTACATGACCAGCAACAAACGGACCCATGTTCGTGGTCCAAAGATGACCGTGCGAATGCCCAGCAAAAATCAGCAGAGGGGAGAGAATAAACTCGCCTGCCGATGGGTTACTGTATCCAGATTCAATCTGGAATATCTTCTCTTACCTGCTTGACTCATTGACTGCACTCAAGCGCCAGTCAACCTATCACAGGTATGTCTGCCCTGGGAAAATGAGGGTTGACGGCAACTGATGGCCTTTCACGGCTGTTCCACGTACCAGTCCCTACATTTGGTGGCCTGCCATCAGTTCATAGCCATTGCAACCTGATCACCCGACCAAAGTGTGCATTTGATCTGTACTACGAGTATATAAACCGAAGTCAGGAGACGAAAAGGACACAGCTGGCTACCACAGGACTACCATGGCAGCATGGCTAGACCTCTCGGGCGACGACGCAGCGGGCTGGTCCCTGGTCGATACGGGCCGGATGGATGACATCGTGCAGAGCATGAGCCATCCCGCCACACAGTACCCGTCCGTCCTTTCGTTCCTGGGCAATGACAGTCGGGTGGCAGCCCTGCGTGCGCTCTTTCCCCAGAACAACGTTACCCGCCGAGGACCAGCTGGTCTGGTCCGGTTGCATCTCAGTACCACGACCGCCAATACCGAGCATCCAGTGTGGTTCACCGAGAGCAGTTTCGCCCGCCCACCGACGATTGACGGGTCCACCATAGCGCCATCCGTCGATCGTTCTCGACGGTACCCAGTTCGGCAAGGCCGATTCGAAACGCCGTGCGACATCAAAGACCACCTCCTCACGAGACTGGTGTTTCCGTGGACGCACGTAGCGTGTTTCTTTGCGGGCGGAGAGAACGAGCTGAAGGCTGGTTGGCTGAAACCCATGGAGACAACCACGCCAGCCCCGCGGACACACCAAGCCTGGTGCGAGTCATATTGATCCTGACGGACCCAACCGCTATCTACAACGCCGACCCGGTGGAGGCGGGGTTGCCCGGTTCAGACGTTGCGGGCGAGCAACGGCCGACAATATCGGTCCTGGACCTGCGCGATCGTCATCAGTTGTCGCCCTCTGCCCTATATGCCCCACTGCAGCGTCTCCTGCTAGACAGGCTCCAGGACAGCCGGGCGGAGCTCATGAAGCAGGGGCTGCTCTTCTCCGCCGTTCATCTCAAGTTCATGTGGAATAGGTGCCTTGCGCAAAGTCTTCTGCACCCGGCTGCCCGAATCAATTGTCTCTCCCTCTCTCGGGAACGACTGCCGGTCCCGTTTGCGTTCCACGATGGCCTCGCGGAGTTGCTCGGGGAGGCGTGCAAGGTCGGGTGCCCCATCCACGAACGGATGCCGACGCTTCAATACGCTACCTTTGCTTCGAAATTGGCGCCAGTATACGGACTACCGCCCTCAAATTCATGGGACGATGGTGGACAGTTGCGATAGATCGAAAGCTCTAGAGCACAGAGCCAGCCCGTCTCGGATGCCATAAATATTCCTGTCCCGGTCGCGATGATTCCTGGGACCAGGTACAGGCAGCATGTACCTAACACGCCAGGCTCAAGTCGAATCGAAGGAAAAGGCTCTGGAAGCCTACCGGAAGGAACGATTTCGTGGAAGCGCCCGAGTCCGTCTAGATTGCCTTGGGTTTGAGAAGGGGTTCAGCCGGCTGATGGATGACGGCCGCAATACCGTCCGGCTCGAGCGGATTCTCGAGTTGCAAGGCTGTCTTCGCATCAACCGGGATTACCATGTGCCGGTGCTGGTCGATGCGGCCGACTGGGGCCGTACCATCAAGATGCATGATAGCGAAGACGAGTTGCTCCCGGAATTGGCTGTGCCTTTGAATATGTTACTCCGCGCCCAGGGATACGAAAGCATTGTCGCAGCGGCACGAAAGATGCTATCCGGGCCGAGTCGGTGGTGGGTGGTTGATGTATACGTGGAGGATCCAGGTAAGTTCCCCCCGGCATCGCTGGTCTGAAGCACCCGTTTCCCGCCTCCCTGGCGCATGGCTGTAGCTTCGTTGTACGTACTAGTAGTAAGTGGAATGCGGTTTTTTTGCCCTAGATCAGCCAACCATCGAACCTTGGCTGCACACCCACCTCGTGCGCTCTCTACAGGAGCACTTTCCGAACGAGCGTCAGCCCCCTGATGGGTTAATCTATCAGCGGCTTCGGCTACCGTAGTTGATCACCTGACGCCCGTCCCCACCTGACGCCCGTTTTCAACTCATCGCCCATACAAAATTTGAAGCCGTACAACCACGAATAATTCGATTTATATAGAGATTTTTGAGTAGAGTGAAATATGCGTAGAATTAAAGCTATATAGCACTTTATTTAATCGCGAAAGCGCTGTGGAAGGCGGATTTGCCTACCTCTGCGATTAAGCGTTGGAGGTGCCTCATCAACGACCTCAACGCCTACAGGGGCGATATCAATCGATTCTTTCGCTTTTGGAGTGCTGGGAGGCCTATTCTTGCCTCGCTGAGCCGATTTAAAGTCATTTTGAAGCTGTATATCGGCCTGCTTAGCGAGCTGATCATCCTGCTTTTTACGCGTCTTTTCCTCTGCTTCACGAAGCCGTATTTCCTTATTTAAAGCGCGACTTCGCTTGCGTTCTTCAACTAAAAGCCTTTTATCTTCTTTCTCTTGCTGCTTACGAAGCCTTTCCTCTTCTTGTGAAGCCTTTGCAAGCCGTAAAGCTTCATCTTTCTCCGCTTGAAGATCACGGGCTTGCTGAATCTTCTTAGGAGAGTAAAACACCGCGTAGCCGTCCTCAGGGGCCCGTAATTCAGAAAGAAAAGGCTTACCTCGTTGACGCTTCTTCTTCTCTAGCTGTAGAGCTTCTTCAAGGCCTTGGCAGCGGAGTTTTAGGATAATATTCTCCGTAGAGAGATGATGCATCGTAGAACTCAATTTTTGAGCCTTTTGATCATATAAATCAGTCACTGCATGCTTGAGAAGCCTCTCTATCTTTCTCCAGTCTTCTGCACCAAGCACTGAGCGAGATGAATCACTAGAGGAAGGCCGATCATTATTATCTCGGCTGAATCGAGATAAAACGACCTCAGGGTCCCACGGCGCGATTCCTACCGATTTCCATGAAGAAATGATATTTTTAAGCGATAAAGCGCAACCCCATGAAGGCCAAAAGAGGCGGAAAAAGTCCCTTTTCGTAATATGACAGAGGCCTAAGCTGGTGTGAAGAAATCGCTCTAATTCATTGCTGTACGCGATTGAAAGCGGCGAGAAGATTCCGACGTCAAGCGGCTGCAATGAATGCGTAGAATGAGGTGGATACGTCATTAGAAGGATCTTATTCGCTTCGCAGTAGTTGAAGAACTTCATATTGACGTGTGAGCCATGGCCATCGAGTATAAGAAGCCTCTAACGCCTTCTTGCCTTTGCCTTAGTCTCTCGATCGAATATATCACGCAGCCACGCATATCCTAGCTCATCATTCGTCCAGCCGGAGGGTGAAGATGCAAAGAAACACTTGTGTTGAAGAGCTTCAAAATCCTGCAGCCAGGAATCTTGAACTTTTGAAGATGCAGCTTGATATATAAGGCCCGGAGATAGCGAGGTCCCATCAGCGCAAATACAGGCAATCGTAGTAATCCATTCGCGATTTCCATCTTGAAGCCGTTGCTTCATTCCATCTCGCTCGTAGACCTTCTTTGAGAAGATCCTTTTGCCTTTAGCGAGGACGCCAATTAAGAAGCCTTTCTCATCCATATTGTAGATATATTTCTCCTGCACTTCGTATTCATCAATTTTTCGCTTTAAAAGTTCGAAATATAAAGCGTATTTCCATGCAGAATCGGCCTTTTTTCGAGATGAATCGATACCAGTTGTGTAGCGAGAAATAAGCTTGTCCGAATGGCGCTTTAAAAAGCGGCTCGGCCACTGTTTTCCTGGCCGATTCCCGCTTATTTCGTGAGCGAGATTTTGTAGCATTTCATGCGAGATATAAAGGCCTCGCTTGCTTAATTCGTTGATATTCGAAATAAGCACTTTCGCCTGTTGATCGTTGAGCAATCGCTGGCCTTGATATTGATCATCTTTTGAATGCTGAACACCGCGAAATCGTCTTGCTAGAGTTGTTCGACTTATACCATACTTTTTCGCTAAAAAGGTATAGCTAGGTCGTTCTTCAAGGGCTAGCGATTCCAAATCTGCAATTGCCTCGTCAATTGGGGCCATATTCGTTGAATTATAGCGGTTTGAAAATGATAAAAAAGTCGGTGAAATTGAAGTTTTCGGGCGTCAGGTGATCAACTACGGTATATGAAGGGCATCTCGGCCCGCCCCGCGATGAACACGCAGCCGCGGCGTGGTGGGCTATTTTGCAGCACGACCCGAAGAGTAGGAAGCATCGATATGTCGCCGCATTCTTTAAGCATCCAACCCTTCCTCGGGCCTTTGATGCCCTTCTTCCCATCCCGGGTCTGTGGGCTTGTATGCATCTCGGGGTGCTCCACACCATGGTTTCTCTGCACTGCGATGAGGTATGTGGGCCTGCGCTCGTTCAATAATGCCGCTGCTGAAATTCGAGACGGTACAGCCCATCTTATTCTATCTGGAGCGGATCCGCAGCATGTGGGTTGATCAAATCCTCGGCGGCGATGCCGCGCTGGCCGGCGCTGCGGACGCCCACACCGTTCGCGCGATGGAATCGCGTGTTCCCCATATCTCGAAGCAGGATAAGGCGTTCCCGGAAAAGCAAATGATGACCGACCGGACGTTGTTTCCATCGATCTCTCTCCACGAGACACGAGAGGCCATCTGGGCTCGGCTACAGTCGATCGACACCCCGATTCCCAGCCTACGCACGTTCTTCCAGGATCTTCTTTATTTGGGCGTGGCGCGCAAGGCGATGCAGACGCTTCTCTGCCTGCGGGAGCCGGGATCGACGAGCAAAGTCACGATCGATGAGGCACTAGGCGGGCAACGTCCGGCCGGCACAAGCCAGTCTCTGGAGGCTCTCTCCCAGCAAACTCGGCAGGGCCTGCAGGAGCTTTGGCGGTTCTGCTTCCAATATGGCTTGGAAATAGCGGGAACCGCACGCCGTCTGCGTCAGCCACGGAAGCCGGAGCGATTGCCCGACTCGCTGCATGCCGGAAATGAACCAACATGGATAAGCCGAACGACGCTGTTGCGCCACTTTTTCTGGCTTGCCGAACAAGAAGGATTCACCGTCCCCAGCCTGCCCGGTCTAGCGCCGCAGGCCGTGTCCCTGCCGACGCCACAGTCACGCGATGCGGTGCCGAACCTGAACCCGGATTGCGATGAACCTGTTGCCCGACGGCGCGGAGTCCCGTATGTTGACACGGTTGATGCCGACCGGTTCGCCCTGGAAAAAGACCGGTTGTGGGAGCGCTGGGATAGCCCGTACATCACGGCAGAGTTTGTACGGCGATCGCAGTTCCAGGCCTTTTTCGGCTACCTCCATGGTAATGTTGCACCTAGCCAGGCCGCTGAGAGTCCCTGGGGTGATGCGCCGGCATCCGATGGAGCCGGGACGCCCGACCATGCTATGCCCGATCAAGGCATCTCCGGGGGTCCTCCAGCATCTCCCAGCATCGCAGATATGCTACCGGACATACGCAGCCCTTCTAGCTGGTCCAACGCCTTTCAGGTGAGCGGGCTGTTTGGACTGGAATCCTTCCAGATGCCAGGGTGGAGTTTAAGGGTGGACGTGGAGATTCCGGGACGGGAGACGAAGTCGTTCTTATTACAAGAGCCAGCAGGGTCGAACGACTCCTTTGTACAGGGGGGCATCAGCCCAATTGAATCGTTCCTCAACGGACTGGGACCGGAATTTGTGTTTTATGTTCCAGAAAATCGGACCATTCTTCGCGAGCAGGTCCACACCTGGCACCAACAATGTCCGGACCAAACTCTAACGGCCCGACTGGACCAGCAAATACTGCAAGAAGCCACAGCGACAAAGGGAAACTCGTTCAAAAGACATATCAGGGAGCTGTCTGCGTCCGAGCTGGAAAGTAAACTGGCAGAAGTCGCCGCGTGGGTTGATAGGCAAGCAGATGGGCACTGGATTGTATCTACTACGGCTATGCCAACGATCAATATAGCGGAGGGATAGTAGCAGAATATGATTGCGGCCAGTGCTGCCCAATTGGAATACGTTCCTGTTTCTGTGCAATATTTCCAACGCGAGGTAAACGTGCGCTTGATAGCACATCGGTCGTGATTTGGGTAAATCCGAAGAACGTCAACTTTGTAGGCTGATGTGGCAGCCTCGAACGCCAATGGGCATGTACCATTTACTGTTTACCATTCGTTGCTTGACACAGGCAAGTTTCTAATTCGCATCCTACCCACCGTACAATTCCCCTCGATGTACAAGGGTAAGGGTTGGATGGTTGGAATATATACTTATTGCTCCTTGCGCACAGGTGTTGGAGATGGCGGAGTTAC